GAGAGAGAGAGAGAGAGAGAGAGAGAGAGAGAGAGAGAGAGGGAGGTGCTCTCAAGTTGCTTCTGGCTTCTGGTGACCCTATGGATTAATGTCCTCCAAAACATCCTATTGTCATCATCCTTAAAACATAAGAAAAGCCCTGCTGGATCAGACCAGTGGTCCATCTAGTCCAGCATCCTGTCTCACACAATGGCCAACCAGTTCCTCTGGAGGGCCAACAACAGGGCACAGAGGCCGAGGCCTCCCCTGATGTTGTCTCCTGGCTCTGGGATTCAGAGGATTAGTGCCTCTGAATGCGGAGGTTCCCCTCAGTCACCATGGCTAGCAGCCACTGACAGACCTATCCTCCATGAATCTATCTAATCCCATTTTAAAGCTGTTTATTCTTGTGGCCATCACTGCATCCGCTGGCAGCCAATCCCACATTTTAATCATTCTGCATTTCCTTTTGCCCATCCCGAATCGACAGCCTTGCACAGGTCTTGCAATGTAAAGGTTGTGGCTTCCTTGATTGAATCAACCCATCTCATGTTGTGTTTTCCTCTTTTCAGGTTTTTCCTAACATTTGTCTTCACTGTCTCTTCCTAGCAATATTGTCTTGTCAATATTGTCTTGAAAGTTTATACCCACAAAATCCTGTTGGTCTCTAAGGTCCTACTGAACTCAAATCTAGCTTAAGTGTTATTAACACCTCGGGCTTTCAAAATACAGAAACTGGATGGGTAAACTGGTATTCAAACTCGCCAGAACAATAGCTCTTTTCACTCCTATCCAATAAGCTCTACGGAGCCTGTAGATTTATTTTAAAACTACAGTGCACAGATAATTGGTGCCTAATTCCAACAGCCTATGAAATGCTCACAGCATACTGTTAGCTCGCTATATTTGCACAGTGATATTAATAGTAGCCATTCATATTTAGATCGGCATAGATATTTCGTCATTTAAATTCTTTGGTCACTGAATATACAATACAAAAGAAAAGCTTGCATAAGATTATAAAAATAAAAGAGATTTTTTTTTGTATCTGTATATAAAAGTGACACCAAAATACAACCAGTTTTTTTTCTAACGCACCAATCTCGCCATGATAACCGCCTGCAGAAAGTTAGACATTCACAATAAACGTAGAAAACAAGCAAGTGAAACAGTATTTTTTTTCCCTCTCTCTTGTGTAGTAAAGGAAGTCTTGTGGGTTGGGTTGGTTGTTTGGACCTTAAAACAGCAATAAAAAGAGTTCTTTTTCCAAACAGACAGAAATGGCCACTGTGTTCTGTATGCTGGCAGAAGACTCTCACCAGAACAGTACCGTACAACGTTGTCCAAGAAGGAGAATTCTCCACCTTCCAGATGGCATCAGTTCACGGAAAAGGTAACACCTACTTCTAGGTAACCCGTTTGAGAACCCGGCCACAAGTGTCCACCTGGGAGGAGTTTTATGTCATCGCTTCACACTTTTCGGCAAAGAACACAATGAAATGTCAGTCACTGGACATACATAATAGAGGATTTGTCCAGCTGCTCACACATCAAGGGAGTACACTTCGTGGTTTGGAAAGAGGACGATTTCCAAGACGTAAGCCTGTGGAGTTTCCACATATGCCAAACAGCATGAAGAGCCACCCTGTAAAAAAAGGTAATTTTTTTAAAAAAAATCCTAAATAAGTAAACAGAAAATGTGCATCACTCGTGGGTGGATTTAATTACAGAAGAAGCAAATCTAACAATCCTTGGAGGCTACAGATGTGTTCCACTAGCAATGACACTTGCCTTTTACTCAGAGAGCTTCTTGCGAGTTTCCTGTGTTAGGGGAGGATTCCTCATGCCAGAGAAAAGTGCCCCGCTTGCTTTTCAATGTGCACTACGCTGAATTTGGTTCCCCCTTTCTGAGATAAGGAAAAGATAGCATAACACGTGCCAGGCTTTTGAGCAGAGCCGTGGCTGCATGGTAGACCATCTGCTCGGCACGCAGAAGGTCCGAGGTTTGCTCTCCAGTTTAAAAACAGATGGGACAGGTCTTTGAAGATACGGCAGATGTCTACTTGAGACCCTAGAGAACCACTTCCAGTTAGAGAAGATAACACTGACCTTCAGACCAAAGGCAGCGTCATGTAACTGAGGCAAACGAATTCCGGTTTAGATCTGACTTGGATAGCCCAGCCCAGCCCAGCCTGATCTGATCAGATCTTGGAAGCTAAGCAGAATCGGCCATGGCTAGCATTTGGATGGGAGACTTTCAAGGAATACCAGGCAATGGCAAACCAGCTATGAATGTCTCTTGCCTTGAAAACTCTATGGGGCTGCCGTGAGTCAGCTGTGATATGATGGCTCTTTCCATCAATTCTGGTTTGGGAAGGGGAGGGGGATGAGAATTAAATATGGCCTTTGAAAGAGCACATATCCAGGTTTTCCATGCCCGCTTCTTGAGTCTTGGTACGCCTTTTAATCCTGAAAAAAACTAATTTGGCAGGTTCTCCAAATGCCTCTGCTCACCACCCACAATTAAAACACAGGCTGTACCTCTCCACTTAGAAGCAGCTGAATTCTCCAGGGCTACTGAGTAGGAATGAGGTCTTTTTCCCGATGGGGCTCCGTTTCTGCCGTGCTGTTCAGTAGCTCCTTATTACTGCAGAAGAGAATAATGGAAGGTCCCCCGCCATATTAAAACAAAATGTGTGCATCCCCACATCATTTCCCCAACCACAATACTCTGCCGCCATCTACCATTTTTCACTGTTTCCCTGTCAACAATGATCACTTGACAAGCCCTCGTCATTACTTCCACGATGCTACAATGCAAAGAAATATTAACATTCATGCTTTTTTCATAGACTAAACTCATCCATGTCCAACTGCTAAGTTTTGCACCGTTTAACAGCAGTCTTCCAGCACCACCCAGAAGTGATGTCACTGACTAGGGGCAACACTCTAGTATTCACCCAATACTCTATGGTTAAACATAGAGTTTTAGGCAAATGCTAGAGCAGCACCTCCATGTGATGATATCAGTTCTGGGTGATGTCGCCATATCGCCGGCAATATCACAATGCTGCCGGAGAGGGACCCCCTTCCAGCACTAGAGAGTTTTCCTCTAGTTGCCAGCCTTATGAATACTAGAACCACACGGGCATGGCTAATCAAAAGTCTTTCCCACCCCATCAGCACTCAGCCTCTCTCCAAACACAACAGGAATCAAACAGGAATGGCCACTTAACTCCAGTATTTGCATGTTTTCTGTGTGTTGCATCATGGGAAAACAGTTCCCACAAAGCTATGGGCATGTGCTTTGGGGGCCTACACATCTTGTGTTAGTGAGTTTTATAAATTAGATTATGCACTGTGTAAAGGACTGAAGACAGGAAGAAATGCTTAAAATCTGCACCATTCACAATAACAATAACAGCAAAGACAGGTTTGCACAGAAGGGGGAGGGGAACGCAAATTCTTACCATTGGCTGCCCTGGGCCCTTCTGCAGAAATGCATGCACTGTTTGTCGCATCTGTCTGCGCACGAGCAGCGTGACGGAGGCCATTTTGATGGATGCGCACTCGTACGATGGTGCCCCGTAGACCTTTTGCCGCGGAAACTGCCCCGGTAGTTAGTCAGCCCGTATGGAACAGTCCTCCTGTGACGACAGACAGACAAATACATTCTCATTTTCCAAGCCCCTGCCAATATTCTTTCGCAAGAGTCACTTCCTTTTTTCCCTTCTATTCGGTGAAACACAGTTGGTGCTAATAATGCTAACTGCAACAGCAAATTACTTAGCTGCTGTTGTGAAACAATGAAATGAACCTGTACAGAAAACTGAATGAATTATTACTACTTGTGATGAGTTTAGGTAAAGTATCTACAATTGTGAATGATCCACTAAACAATTCTTTCTGTTTGGCTTTTATCTTAGAAAACCAGTGAAACTGACATTTCCCTTTTACTAAAAATGCTGAATTAAAACAGAAACAAAACAGTTTGCTTTTTTTAAAAAAATGACACCTCTAAAGGCGTATGTGCTAAGTAGGCAGCAAGCCGATTTCTTTTTGGTTATTTATTTGTTTACTACATTTATACCTCGCTTTTCTTCCTCGATGAGAATCCAAAGTGGCTTGCAACAGCATCCGCCCTGTCGCCATTTTATCCTCACAATAACCCTGAGGTACGTTTGGCTGAGAGTGCGTGACTGGCCCAAGGTCACCCAGCAAGTTTCCATGGCAGGGCGGGGATTTGAACCTGGGTCTCCTGGATCCCGGTCCGACACTCTAACCACTGCACCCTGCTAGCTGATGCTTGAAGTTGCAGAAGGTGGGCAAAGCCTGGCTATGTTGCTAGCTTTGCCCTCAAAGGTTTCAGCCGGGCTAAAATTCAAGCAGCCCTCCCATCCACACTTCCTTACAATCGACACTGTGATTTGTTTGTTTGTTTATTTGATTTTTATTCCACTCTCCCCCACCAGTGTTCCCTCTAAGCTGTGGAGTCTTGTGAGCAAGAATTCTACTCTGTGAGCTACTGGCATTAAAGCTGTGAGCCAGCAATTTGGCTGCTGCCTCATTTAGTTTGCTCTGGAGCCCTCCTCCCTGAGCTAAGACAAAAATGTGTGAGCTGGAGGCTAAAAAACTGTGAGCCAGCTCACACTAACTCAGCTTAGAGGGAACACTGTCCCCCACTATCATGGGGCTCAGAGCAAGTCACAACCAGTGTTCCCTCTAAGCTGAGTTAGTGTGAGCTAGCTCACAGTTTTTTAGCCTCCGGCTCACACATCTTTGTCTTCGCTCAGGAAGGATGGCTCCAGAGCAAACTAATTTATGCTGTAGCCAAATCACTCGCTCACAACTTTAATGCCGGTAGCTCACAAAGTAGAATTTTTGCTCACAAGACTCCACAGCTTAGAGGGAGCTTTGGTCACATCAGGTCTTAAACAAATCGTAACATAATAGAGACATACCAGTTTAAAAATTAGAAACATTACTACGACACTGCCGGGGGGGAGGGAAGGGGGGAGGAAAAGGCAGGAAAATCTCTATAGGTGGAAATTCTACTGACCTCACCCACGTGCTTGGTGGTACATTTTCATTTTACAGGCCCTACGGAACTGTACCAAGTCCCGCAGGGCCCTGATCCCACTTGGAAGCGCCTTCCACCAAGCTGGAACCACAGCCGAGAAGGCTCTGGCTCTAGTTAAACCCAGGCGAATACTCCTTGGTCCCGGAATCGTCAGTGTGTTGTTATTCAGAGAGCGTAATGCTCATTCAGGGGTATGCCAGGAGAGGTGGTCCCGAAGATATGTTGGTCCCAGACCATGAAGGACTTTAAATGATGAAACAATTAATAACCTGACATCTACGCAGAGATTTACCTGCATGCCAAACCTATGCAATTTTTTAAAAATAAAGTTTTGAGGCCTGATGGTGGCAAGCTGGATTGGCATTAGCACAACATGACGTGGAGCAGCTGCCGTGGCCCCAGAACATGAGGCGCACTGCCGCTGACCCCCACCCATGCACCTCCTGTGCAATGTTCCCTCTAAGCTATGGAGTCTTGTGAGCAAAAATTCTACTTTGTGAGCTCCTGGCATTAAAGTTGTGAGCAGGTAATTTGGCTACTGCATAAATTAGTTTGCTCTGGAGCCATCCCTTCCTGAGCTAAGACAAAAATGTGTGAGCCAGAGACTAAAAATCTGTGAGCTAGCTCACACTAACTCAGCTTAGAGGGAACACTGCTCCTGTGTCACCTTCCCTTCCCTTCCCTTATCATTCTCATTTGAAGAAGAAGAAGAAAAGGAGATTGGATTTATACCCCGCCCTTCACTACCCAAAGGTGTCTCAGAGCAGCTTACAAACTCCTTTACCTTCCCCTCCCCACAACAGACACCCTGTGAGGTAGGTGGGGCTGAGAGAGCTCTTGACAGAAACTGCTCTTTTTCAAGGACAGCTCTTATCAGAACTAAGGCTTGCCCAAGGTCATCCAGACAGGTGCAAGTGGAGGAGTGGGGAATCAAACCGGGTTCTCCCAGTTTAGAGTCCACGCACTTAACCACTACACCAAACTGGCTCTCGAAGATCTTGAGCATAAAACCCATACGACAGAATAAAACAGAACATACAACAAGATAAAACTCATACATAATTTCCCCATAAAAGTCAACAAACTATAACCCGCCTTAGGAGCGTTTTAATGAGATCGTCCTTGCCAAAAATTTGGCAGCAGATCAAGTTATTTATGGATCAGAATCTGCTAAGGAAAAATGGTGTCACCCAGGACTCAGCAGAAAGCTGATCTCTAGCCAGGACAGGAATAATCCAAAGAGCTCTGGGGACAGTCCATCCATCACAAAATAGAATAAGATGGTCTATAGTCTCTGCTGCACCTGCCACACAACCACAGAAACAATCTGAAAATGGAATTTTTGGCAAAGCACCCTCTCAGTTCTGCAGTTGGCAGAACACTCAGTCCGGCACGCCTGGAAGCGTGCTTGAGACTGGGGGTTTGTAAGAAAATTTCAATATGAAGGGTGGGTTAAAGAAGGAGAAATCCCAATTGCAGAAATAGCGCCTACACACCTTGTCCAGGTTTGTACGTTAGCACGGTCAAGGTCAGTTACCCTCTTCCTGATCATCCTGATAGCCTATATTCCTAATCATAACAAGGGAAAGGCCAACGTTCTCACTGCTGCAAGAAGAAGTGATGGCTACAGGCATAAACAGCTTCAAGAAGGGATTGGATAAACATATGGAGCAGAGGTCCATCAGTGGCTATCAGCCACAGGGTACAGAGGGAACACTATGTCTGGGGCAAGTGATGCTCTGTATTCTTGGTGCTTGGAGGGGGGCAACAGTGGGAGGGGTTCTGGTATCCTCGCCCTACTGGTGGACCTCCTGATGGCACCTGGTATTTCTGGCCACTGTGTGACAGAATGTTGGACTGGATGGGCCATTGGCCTGATCCCACATAGCTTCTCTTACATGCTTAGCTTCTTTCAATAGATGCATTGGGCCATCCTGGGCTTTGGGCACAGAGAAAAGAAGCTCCATTCTTAATTAAATTAAAGGCACCAATCCAAGCCCTGGACTCCAAGGAGTGCTATCCAAACTCTACTCTGAGGCAACCCAACCAGGTGCTCCTGCCATCCAGAGGGGGGAAAAAACTGAAGAAGCAGATGATCTGTAGATTCCATTTTTCCAAAAGCCTATCCCCAACAAAGCCTGATAAATTACCTTGACATCAAAAGCCTTAATAGCTATGGGTACATACTGTCCTTCCTTTTGAGTAAACCCCCCCAAAAACCATTTATATTAGCCCAAGCAATTTCTATAATTGAGGCAACCTGAGCTTTCCAAACAAGATTATGGCTAAGCATAACACCAAGGTATTTGAAATGGGACACCTGCTCAAAACCTCCCCCCCAATGGCCCTCTATATTTGGTCCCTTCCTGGGTACTGCCACCTATTGGTACCCATGCCCCCAACTGCCCAGTGTCATTAAGGAAGGGCATGTAGGTGGTGCACAGTGGTGGCACTCCCAATGGCAGCAACAGCAGCAGCACTCCCAGCTGCATACACGGGGCAGGGCTGTCAGGGGAAGGGCGTGCAGGTGGCGCAGGGAACTGAGCATGGGCACTGGGAGGGTTTGCAAGCAGGAGAAGGATGCTGACTGAGATCTTGCAGAATCACCATCAGCATGGTCAGTGGGGGTGCTACGGCTTCTCAGAAAGGGTAGATTTCATGGAAGGCTTTGAATGAAGAGAGATATAAGAACGTAAGAGAAGCCATGTCGGGTCAGGCCAATGGCCCATCCAGTCCAACACTCCGTGTCACACAGTGGCCAAAACCCAGCTGCCATCAGGAGGTCCACCAGTGGGGCCACTCTAGGAATTTAGGAAGCAGCAGAGTGTTGTCACTAGTACAAGCAGGAGAGGGAAGGGAAAGAGAAATGGCATCTTTAGATGGCTGCAGTGTCCCCTCTAAGCTGAGTGAGTGTAAGCTAGGTCACAGTTTTTTAGCCTCTGGCTCACACGTTTTTGTCTTAGCTCAGGAAGGAGGGCTCCAGAGCAAACTAATGTATGCAGTAGCCAGATCGCTCGCTCACGACCTTAATGCCAGGAGCTCACAAAGTAGAATTCTTGCTCACAAGACTCCACAGCTTAGAGGGAGCATTGGATGGCTGAGGCTTGCAAAGGACACACTGGGGGCAAGAGGGTGTCTTCTTCACATGTGGCCCTGTAACTGCGTAACTGTGGGCTCATGGCTAGCCTCAGTACTTTAGCAGATGGCAAGACTGTTTGTTTCCCAGAGACCAAGTTACAGTAAATGTGCCCAAAAAAGTTTCTCTTTCGGGCTTGCTTGCCTTGATAACTAATGTCAGTTATAGACACAAGGGGCCCATTTAACACAAAACAGCGGGTACTTCGAGTGCTGCATGCCAAGCCATATCAACCATCCGTCTAAACCAATACTGTCATATCTTAACTCACAACAGCTGGCGCTACAGGAATTCGTTTAGCTGCAGACTAAACCTGGAATTTTTGTGAAGGAGTGATGATCTATGTTGCATTGTTAAAAGGGGTTTCATCCCTATCTTTGTGTCGTATCATTTGCAAGGTGTCTCCTATGCAACTTTTAAAACAAGAATAT